TGTGGAAAGTCACTCCACATTATATGGCATCAGTGAAATGCAAATTTAAGAAATGAGATACCACTACACACCTATTAGAATAACTAAAATTTGACAACTACAAATGATGGTAAGAATTGGAGCAATAGGAACTTTCATACATTGCTGGTAGTAATTCATAATTGTACAACCTCTTAGAAAGACAGTTTGACAGTTGCTTTTTTTTAGAAAACTAAAGATATTTTTACCATATGAGCCAAAGGACTTGGTATTTACCCAAAGGACTTGAAAACATATGTCCACACAAAAACTTTCACACAGATGTGCATAGCTGCATTTATAATTACCAATACTTATAAGAAACAAAGAAGTTATTCAGTAGGTAAATGGATAAAGTGGTACATCAGACAATGCAATATTATCCAATGCTAAAAAGAAATAAGCTACCAAGCCATGAAAAAGACATGGAGAAACTTTAAATGCATATTAGTAAGTTAAAGAAGCCAAACTGAAAAGGCTACATCTTATAAGATTTAAACTACATAACATTCTGGAAAAGGTAAAACTCTGGATTCAGTAAGAAGATCAATGATTTTCAGGGGTGGTAGAGATAAATAGAGTACAGAAAAATTTTAAGGCAGTGGACTTTTAGGTTACAATGATGTGTCAATGTAGGTTTGTCAATTGCAATAAATGTACCACTCTGGTAGGGGGTATAGATAATGGAGAAGCTATGCATGTGTTAGGACAAGGAATATATGGGTAATCTCTGTACCTTCTGCTCAATTGTGTGTGAACTTAAAACTGCTCTTAAAATTCTATTTAAAAAAGGACACGTGCTTACAATGCCAATGTTTCCTTTCAATCTCTTCTACTTACACTGTCTTCTCCTTCTCAGTATTCTAACCTTCCAAAGTGATTCCTCTCTTTGTTTCACATATGTCAAGAAATCATATTGGCTCCAACTTTACAATAGACTATAGCCAATCACTTTTCATTACCTCTAATACTACGACCCCAGTTAGAGCTGTCAACCTAACTTTGCCTTGCTTACAGCAATAGCTTTCTATTAGTTTTCAGATTTCATCCTGACCTCACTGGTCTTTTCTCAACACAACAGCCAGAGTGGTAACCTTTAAAACAAATGTCACATTATGTCCTTCCTCTGTAGAGGTTCACCATTTCACTCAGAGGAAAAGTTAAGTCTTTAAAATGACTCTCAAGGTCCTGTCTGCTCTTCCATCATTCCACACTGCCCGCGAGCAGAGACCCACTAGCCCCATTCTCTTGACCCTCGGATATTCTGCCCTCTGGAGCTTGGGCCTTGTGTAAGGGTCTGTGGCTTGAAGCCAGCTTGGGCCCACTGTGAAGTCTTTCTATGGAAAGTTCTAGAGAAAGACCAGGCAACCTCAGGGTGTGGGAATGAGGAACAGCATTTCAGGTAGAAAAAAATCACATTAAAAAAATCACTAGAGAGCTAATGCATAGGGTGTGTCCAATAGGATGAAGTAGAGCTCAGAGTGCCTTGGAACTTTTACTGATCTACCCTTAGCTCAGAGTTGAAGGAAGCTGACCCTTGTATATAGCTTGGCCTCTCCTATGCAAACTCTGACCCAATAGATGCAGCCACAAACAGTGAATTGTGTGGTAGTTCCAGGCAGGTATTTCTAGGCTGATTACCGGAAGCACCAATATAAACCTGCACTGGAACCCCATCCAAGTGGATTCAGAACCAACACAATGAGTGGGGAGCCTTAGAGAAGATCAGAGCCTGACCCAACTAACCACAAAAATGGCACACCCGAAGGGAGATCTTGGCAGGCACCAGATGCGGCTAAAACAACGTCCCTTCAGGGCACAGCCCCCACGTGACAGCTCCTCCACTATGATCAAGGTTTATCCTTACAGTCAGTCAGCCTGAGGGGTAAACCCACCCATATCATTTAGGACTCAGCGATGACAGGCTGGGTGCACATAAACCACACAAGAGACATTCCTGGAGCTCCGAGCTCAGGTGGTCTGGATGACCGAGCCAGTGAGCCCCACAGGACACCTACAACATAAAACCACCATAACAAGTTTGGGCGTCATCACAGACCTGCCTAATACACAATAATAAACACAAGTCAGACAAAATTGGGAATCAAAAATATGCCCCAAATAAAAGTAGAGGAGAAATCCCCATAAAAAAGAACTAAATGGAATGGAAGCAACCAAGACACCAGATACAGAATAAAAAACAATGGCTATAAGGATGCTCAAAGACCTTAGGGAAACAATGGAAATTCTCGGTGAGTATTTAAACAAGAAGATAGAAAAAATATAAAGGGACATAGAAACAATAAAAAAGAAACAGTTATAAATGAAGAACACGGTATCTAAAATAAAGACTACACTAGAAAGAATCAACAGCAAGTTAGAAGAAGCAGAGAATCAAGTCAGCAATTTAGAGGACAAGATAACAGAAAACACCCAAACAGACCAACAACATAAAAGAATGTTAAAAAATGAAAGTCTAAGGGACCTCTGGGACACCATCAAGCATAGCAACATCCACATCCTAGAGGTACCAGAAGGTACCTCTGGTACCAGAGGTACCAGAAGAAGAGGGATGATCTGTATGAAGAAATAATGGCTAAAAACTTTCCTAACCTGGTGAAGAAAAAAGACTCACAAGTCCAGGAAGCAGAGTCCCCATCAAGATGAACCCAAAGAGGCCCATACTAAGAAGCATTATAATTAAAATGGAAAAGGTTAAAGTTAAAGAGAATCTTAAGTGCATTAAAAGGAAGACAGTTACCTGCAAGGCAGCTCTCATGAGCCTGCCAGCTGATTTCCCAACAGAAGCATTTCAGGCCAGAAGTAATTGACATGAAATATTCAAAGTAAAGAAAAGCAAGGAGCTACAACTAAGATTACCCAGAAAGGCTATCATTTAACATTGAAGGTGAAATAAAGAGCTTCGTAGACATCAGAAATGAAAAGATAATGTAAAAAAGAAATTGGTATTTATATATAGGCATTCATGCATTGGTAATAAAGAAGCAGCAATATGATTGCCTTATGCTAGCCTAGTGTAATTGGTATGTTTACTTCAGAGTACTAAGAAAATCTCCAAAAAAATGTTCTGATGAATTTATTGGAAAAAATCTGCATATACGTAGACCCATGCAGTTCAAACCTGTGTTGTTCAAGGTCAACTGTATATACAAACACCTATGTATATATGTATGTATATGTGTTTACATATATATAATATATATAATATATATAATATATATAATATATTTAATATATATAATATATATAATATATATAATATATATTATAAGGGATTGACTAAGTGATTATACAGTCAGAAGTTCCACAATATGCTGTCTAAAAGTTGGAGACCCAGAAAAACCAGTGGTATAGTTCAGTCTTGGTCTGAAAGTCTGAAACCCAGAGAAGCCAATGGTTTAATAACTACTCAGAGGCTGTCTTAGCTCAGCAGTTAGGCAGAGAAGAGATGAGTTCTTCCTGTGCCTTTTTTTCTCTTTAGTCCCTCAGTGGATTATATGAGGCAGCACACATTGGAGAGGGTAATATGCTTTACTGAGTCCACTGATTCAAATGCTAATATTTCATGGACACACCAAGAAGTAATTTTTAGCAAATATCTGAACCCAGTCTAGATAGCACGAAATTACCCATCACATTCCATCTTCTGCTCTCTCTCTGTCTCTTTGCTTCAGCCACACAGATCCCCTTGATATTTTTTTCAAACAAATCAGCTTGCTGGAGCCTCAGACCTTTATTGCAAGCTGCTCCCTCTTCCTGGAAGACTATGTGTGTTGCTTAAATCTTACCTTCTCAATGAATCCTAATCAAATTACCCTACATAAAATTCCAATCCATTCTTTGCTCTAATGTCTCTTACTTTGCTGTATGTTTTACCACATATTTTATCAGATTCTAACATTTCATTTAAATTAATTATTTATGATACTTACTGCTTATACTCTGTTTCTCCATCCCCCTAGAGTACAAGCTTCATCCTGTCAGGAAGTTTAACTGCTTTGTGCCTTGGAAAATACCTGACAGTTTTTGATGGCTCAATAACTGTTTAATAAATAAAGGAATGACTATTCTACCGAAAACCTTTTCAAGCATCATTTTGTGCCAAGCATTGTGCTCTAATATATGAATATTCAAATTGATCACATACTTACCCTGCCTTCAGGAAACTAACAAGGAATCCTGAGCTACTGATAAATAAATGCAATGCAAGTTAGAAATAGTTTGGGATGGGAAATTTATAAACACTACTTAGAGATGGGAAAACTGTTTGTAGCCAGAGCAATAGGGAAGAGTTTGAAGATGGTGACACCTAAATTAGCACTTGAATCTGTGGAAATGAGGAAGAACAACATTCCAGGTAGAAGAAACCACATTTTAAAAAATCGCTAAAGAGCTAATACATGGGGAGCAGACAGGGAAAAGCATAGAATACTGAAAGAGCTTAGGTTCTGAGTCAACATGCCTGGCTTCAAGTTCAAATTCTTGTGTGACCTTAGACAAATTATTTACCCTCTCTGAGTTTCAATTTTTATATTTGTAAAAAAGGATGATGCCATCTAGCTTAGGGTATTGCTGTGAAGAAATCATGAACAAAAATCACCTAGTCCAGTGCCTGGCTTCGAGCGATCGCTCAATATCTGAGAGCTATTATTGGAGTATAGTTTGACTGGAGTGTAGATGAAGTGTGTCCCTCACCAATGCTGTTTTCCAATAGGAAGCAAGGCCAAAATGTATTGCATTTACTCTACACTCTCTGGGAACATTCGTCTATTGTCCAACTTGAAAAATGAAGCTGAAAGTCTTGTATTAGAAGCATAACACCCTGAAAGTGTGATGCATTGGCCTATCAGGCGTAAGATTGCTTTGAATATAGAAGGAATGGAAATATATGTGTGTTATGTTTCTGCTGAAGATGATTTTTACTTACCCACCGGTTTATTTGTGTGTGTTTCTTTTTTCAGTTGCTCCTACCATCCAGGAAATTAAATCCGGTACCGTGGCCCCTGGACGCAGTGGATTGATAAGATGCGAAGGTGCAGGTGTGCCGCCTCCAGCCTTCGAATGGTACAAAGGAGAAAAGAAGTAAGGACTTTGTGATTGTTACTGTGTTCCAAGCACTTTGAGCTAATGTGTTTCTGTTTCAGATACTTACTTTAAACAATTTCTTTAACTGGCTTGAATGATTCTCAACAGCCTCCTCGCAGGCAAGCAAACTGAAGGGTCCCATGTGGGAAAGAAGAGTAGCTAATAGCATCCTGAAGAAATGTCCACTTTGGTTTATATGATCTGAGAAATGCCTGCAAATCCCTCATCACTGATTCTTTTATTTGTGCTTCTCCCTTCTGAACCAGCACACCATTGCTCTTGCTGGCAACCACATTTAATTGGGAAGTAAACCAGCACTTAAAGGACTTGGGCATAGACTCCATGAGAGCACTCCAAAAGCCATGGGAGCCTCTGTCTCTGCCCAGCTTCCTTGATAAGACTCAACACTCTCACCTGCCTTGCTCTCCCTCAAGACATTCTAACACTTTGTTTTATAGCTCACTGTGTTTTAGATATTCTGTCACTAAAGGGGCTGTAGAGGAAATAAAGTACATGGTTAAAGGACTATCCAATGTGATTTTAAGGCTCCTCTAACTTCAGCTCTGTACCATTGTCCCCTTGAGAAACCTCAGAAGGCCTTGGCAAGAACATTTGAACAAGAGAAGTCAGGACTCCACTACTTTCTCTTTATTTTCAACCAGTCAGCTCATTCAAACATTCAAACCTCTTTAGCTGGTCTTAGCTATCAAAGAAGAGCGGGGCCGCTGTGGATTAACTGGAAGATGGGATGTAGAGGGAAGGGTAGTAGCTATATATATATATATATTTCACTTTAAAACCAGGGAGGGATGTATTCAAGCAAATGATAGGTTCAACCATGACTGTAGCTCTACTTAAAAAAAAAAAAATTTGCAGCTATTTTGCATAGAATCTCTTCTACCATTTGGGATATTCCCTTTTTAATTCTTTTAACTAAGTAATTAATGCTTTTACTAATTTTAAATCTACCTTTCTGTGGCTTCATGGAAGCCCCCATGTTTTTATTTACTTAGAATAAGACAAACCTCGCCAAAACCGGTTTGGCTCAGTGGATAGAGCGTCGGCCTGCTGACTGAAAGGTCCCAGGTTTGATTCGGGTCAAGGGCATGTACCTGGGTTGCGGGCACATCCCCAGTGGGAGATGTGCAGGAGGCAGCTGATCGATGTTTCTCTCTCATCGATGTTTCTAACTCTCTATCTCTCTCCCTTCCTCTCTGTAAAAAAACAATAAAATATATAAAAAAAAGAATAAGACAAACCTCTCTAGGTCACCCTTGTTGCACCCTATAAGATTATGTATCCCCTAATACAACCTTCTCAGATCCAGCTGGTTACCCAGTTGAGGTGTCTTCAGTTTGTTTTTTTGTTTGTTTGTTTTTGTTTTTTTCTTTAGCATATTTGTTTCTTCTTTTTTTTTTTTAATCCTCACCAGAGGATATTTTTTCATTGATTTCTAAAGAGAGTGGAAGGGTGGGAGGAGGAGGGGAGAGAGAAATAGAGAGAAATATCAACGTGAGAGAGCCACATCGATCAGTTGCCTCCCACATGCACTCCCTACCGGGGCTGAGGAACCTGCAACCGAGGTATGTGCCCATGACCAGGAATCAAACCCTAGACCACTGGGTTTGCAGGTGGATGCTCTAACCACTGAGAAACCTGCCAGGGTGAGATAACTTCAATTTGTGATTATCTTTATGGACAATCATCTAGAAAAGTGGTTCTCAATACTTTGAAAGTTATGAACTCCTTTATTCAAATGCAATCTTGTTTAGAAGCTCAAAAAGTAATAGCTACAGTATGAAAGTAATACTTTTCTGGTAGATATGGGGTGGATGCATAGAACCTTAATTCCACCTGTTCAGAAACCTCCCTTTCATGGGACATCCTTGCAGTCCCCCCACACCCTTGGCCCCACCCCTGAATTTCCACAAAAAAATAATTAATTAACTAAAAATAAAAAAATAAAAACATTTTAAATAATGACAAACTAAAGTCATTTTTGATCTTGTGTCATTTTTCTTAAAAGCTAACAAACAATTATTCCCAGTAGTGCAAATGAGAGCTCATTCGTTAAAGTCCACTTTACTTCCAATATTTTGTGAGGTGATGTCCTGAATTTTTTGATTGTTCATTTGTTTTGGGGGTATTTTTTGTTCTCTCTCTCTTGTTTTCTCTTTCTCTCCCTTTCCTAAATACAGAACCTTTAAAAAATGGCTGTAATAATCCCTAGTCCATTTTTTTGGCCTATAGCAATTATAGCAAAATGCCAATTGATGCTCATAGTCATAACTTCAGTGACTTTTTTTTCCTACTGAGGAGATGGACTATAGCTATTATTGGATTTTCAAAGAAATTTAAAACCACTCCTATCAAAGATAGATTAATATTCCCCAATCAGTGTCACTCCCCAACACACTTGTACATCTAGAGAAAGTCTAAGAGCTATGAAATAAAATGCATATGTAAATAGCAAACTTATTTTCATTTCAGAGAAAAGTATACATTTATCTTTGTTGGGATTGGAGTTGAGGAAATATTCAAATTCTCAAACATAATTAGAATATACAAATTCCTCTCAATATTATAGTAAAGCACACTTAAATATATGCAGGAAATAGGAGAAAGAAATATGCTTGTTGCTGAGCAGTTGTTGTTACACTCACTAATTGGATCTACATGGTAGTTTCAAAGCCCAGGCCATTCAAATATTTACCTCATCAAAATGAAAAACTCACAAGCAACTGCTATTTGACAAGCAGTGTTCCAAATTATTAATAAATATTAACCAGCTTATTTTTATAATGAACCTGTAAGATAGATATCATCATTTTCTTCTACTTGTTTGGGAGAGATAAAAGAACAGAGTGTTTTCAGAGTAATTTGCACAGGTTGATAAAGTTAGTGACAGAGCTTGGATTTGAACCCAAAAAGTCTTGCAGTTCTTTGTGCAGAGTCCATGAGTTTAACCCCTACACTATGGCACTTAGTTTAACTCATGGCCCCTCAGAGTCTACCAAAAATCAATTGAAATGTCAACATTAAAGGCCAAATGTAAAGGCATTGCAAATCAATTATGAATTAGCCAAAGGAAATATGACACATAAAAACACCCAGCTATAATTTCCCCATTTATTTAGTCAAAGACACAAAAATAGTGGAGTCAAAGTAGGCACACAGAGAAGCAACAGATAGAGCATGTTTCTGAGTTGTTTTCTTGACCTCCAGGTGTCTGACTAGAGCACGAAGCTGTCAGAGACCCTGTCAGAGACCCTGTCAGAGTCAAGGGGAGTTTCCACAACATCTGGAGAAGTTTCATTTCCTAGAGATCTTTTATACTTGGGGCTTACAACTATATTCAGAAATAATGTACACACTGTTTTTATTTCTACTTAAGGGGATATTTATAAAAAGTCACCTGTCTTAAATGTTCAAAGTCAGATTGTCAATAAAATAAATATAAACAAATAAGCACACACACACACACAAAAAAAAAACAGAGACAGTACCTGACCACCCCTAGTCTTTTCTCTGCATAGCATTCTGCATTCTATGGAATCCATTTCTATGTACTGGAAATAATCCACTTGATAACCTTTAAAAGAAAATCTTGTCAAATTTAGCACAATTTAAAGAACATTAAAAAAAAAGCAAATACTTACTGAAGACAAATCATTTTTCCAGGCCCTTTAAACACTTTTAACTTTTTTAGTCCTCAAATCTCTGTGAGGTACAATTTATTATTTTCAATTTACTGAAGGCAAAACTAAGATATGGTCCTTTGGAGTCTGCCAACTTTAAGTTGCCATCAAGATACATTTTAGATTTGTCAACCTCTTAGTCCATGTCCTTTTTCCCTGTATATATTGGCATTGTTAGTTATCTATTGAACAAGTAACAAGTTAACCCAAAATTTAACAGCTTAAAATAGTGATCGTTTATTATTTCAATCAGTTTTTTGGGTCAGGAAATCAGGGTCAGCTAAGCTGTACATTTATGACTCCAGATCTCTGATCAGCATCTGAAGCCTGAGGAGGGCTGGAAGAACTGCTTCCAAGATAGCTCACTTCCAACATGCCTGGCAGGTTAGTACTAGTTATTGACAGCGTCTCAGTTAAACCCTATGTGGACGTCTTCATAGGACTGCTGGACTGTCAACGTGATATGGCAGTTGACTTGCCCCAAAACTAGTGATCCAAGAAAAAGCGAGGTAGAAGCTGAAGGTATCTTTTGTGACCAAGTCTCAGATGCCATGCTCTGTCATTTCTGCAATACTTGATTGATTACACAGGGTGATCCTAATCAATGTAGAGGAGCCACACAGGAACATAAGTATCAGGAGATAAGAATCATTAGATGCCATCTTCAAAGATGACTCCCACACTGTCTCCATCATGGATAATATAATTATTTTGTATTAGAAATATTAGCCACTTGACCATAATGCATTGCATTGTTTAGATAAGTATTGAGAATGACTCAAGTTTTAATAGTTGTTATGAAAATATTATCCCTTGCTATAAAATGGTCCTTTTCTTAACACTGTAATCTCTTTCAGCATACCTGGCAGGGACAGTACAATTAGACTTAATTTTGTTTCAGATACATTTAAATATTGGGATATCAGAGTTGTGTGTTCAATTAAATAGAGAGCCACAAATTAATGTTTTTATTAATAACAGAGAAGATTGATAAGAAGAAATATATTCCTTATATATGTAGTAAAAAGACACTTTGAACCAGGCAACTACTATTAAGCAAATCATATTTTTGATGACATGAAATTAAGTTAATCTATGGCTTAAGAGCTGTACATTCATTTATGATTAAGACTATATACATAAATTTTAATGGACTCATGTTTTTGCAAAAACATGGGATTTACATTACTTTGTGAAGATGTCATTACCCTTTGTCTCAGATTGGAATTTTGCTATTTGCTTGCTTGTTTGAATTTCCTCCCTTTTTTTGGGTATCCTCAAATCCCGCTCTGAGGCCTA